CCTAAATGTTAACCCCCCCAAAAAGGCATCAGTCCCTCCTCAATCTTCGAAAAGCTCTCTTGATTCGTAACGTGTTCCTTGGTGTTTAATTGACGCTTAACTTTTAACACGCACTCTGTGTTTGCTGTAATCACTTGTACCTGTTGATTTGCCATCATCGTCGTCTGACTCCTTCTTGAATCCAGATAGACCTTGGAATGGTAAAAAAGAATATTTTACTTTGAGCAAGGAAAATTTTTAGCCGTAATGATTAAGTTGTTTGTGTTTAACTTATTTTCATAGGTCTTTTTTCACTCACAATCTTGAAAAGTGCAATTCATTTACTGTTTTATCTCTCTCACCTAATAAAATCTCATCCTCCAAATTCACCTTTTCTTGGTTTGTTGAATCTTTGCCTTCCGAAGTAGCTAAAAATTAGGAAAGAATCAAACACATTGGGCTGTGCTCTGGACTTTTCCGTTGAATAACGAAGAATAATACATTTATAGGGGGTAACAATTAATTATATAGAGTCTATTATGTACATTTTCCTCCTTTGAATGTGTTTGATTTCAAATCAAGTCAGTCTTACTTACCTGCTATGGACAAAGAAGCATTGAAATCCACTCCGTTATCGCTTGAGGTAACTTCGCTTTTGTCTGCCTCTGAAATTATAACCAAAAGTTGTATCTCATCTGAGTTGAGTTAAATGCGTTTTGGTACAGTTTAGTTTAATGCATCTGAAAGGTCTGTTGTCTATTTAGGTTTATCAAGTACACATATCAGACATTGAACTTGTCACACCTATTCAAATGGTATCTTATGGGCGGGGAAATAGCAACGACAAACAAGTGAGGAGTGCCGCGAGTACTTAGACCTACTGGACCAGGAAAAATTTTACAAAGATAAGTTGAATAACAACATATTGAATGATTTCTGTCCATCATCAGGGTAAGCTCTGTTCTGTTATTATTGCACAAGTCAACAATTTCTGAAAAGCATTTAACAGTTTTTCTCACCAAATGAACTGTTGTCAGGCAAGTCCTGGTTTCCTTCGGCTGCTTCAACTTGCGCCTCTTTGGTGACTCAAAAAAACAAAGAATATCAGTGGTCATAAAAACTGGAATATTTGAAAAGCTTTTCTATTGATTTCCACCATCCTCTGATATTTTAATTGGGGTTTTCCCTTAATATCGCAATATGAAAGACTAAAATAACTTCAGAAACTGAAAAATATAAATTTTTTCCGTTATTGTGTAGCTTACGACTGTGAAACAATCTCTTGATTTTTTCTGTCTTAATATTAACCCACAGAAAATTATTCAGTCAGTTTTCAATCT